TTAGCTGCATTTAATTCAAAAAGGCTTATCCATCTATCCACCTCACTGCAAAGTAAATAATTAACACAGTGGGAGAAATGATTTGCCTTCATGTGATGCCCTACTCAGTAGTGGAGGATAAAGATTTTCACAAACTTCTCAATGTGGTTGCACCTCGATACCAATCTCATTGGCATTTCTCTCGCACAGTTATACCACAACTTTACCAAGAAGCGAAAACAAAAGTAAAAGAAGCTCTCTCAAAAATTGAGGTGAAATTTGTGCACTGCACGTCTGAGATAGGGATGAGCAAATTTTCCACAAATGCATATCTTTCTCTCAATGGCCACTGGATAGAAAGCAAACAGAGTCCCCTATGAATAGATGAAGATAAACGTGTGACAGCACTTCTCAAGATGGAGGTTCTTAATGGAGATCACACAGCAGCCAACATTTTACCTCACCTCCAGGCCGCTGTGAAACAATGGCAAGATAGTGTTGGTGCGTAAATTTCTGTTGAGTATTTTGTCACAGATAATGCCACTAACATGGTTGCACCAATGGCTGTGGTGCACATTATGTGTATGTCTCACACCTTACAAATAGCGGTAACAGCTGGTCTAAAAGAGTGCCAGGGAGTGATCAATGTGATATTGATTGCTCCCAAGATCATTGGGTTTGTACACAGATCAAACAAAGCTGTGAACAAACTTCACAAAATCCAGGAAGAGCTTGGCCTTTCCAAGAACACTTTGGTGCATGACGTGTCAATCAGGTGGAATTCCTCCTTCCACATGCTCCAGCGGCATGATGACAAGCAGAGACGACCACACCATCATTGATGGTAATGTCACACCATCAATGGGAACTAGTGCAATTGTATAAGAATTTCTTTTATTTATGTATTATTCACATTATTTTATTGTATAATGCCTTAGTGCCACTGGATTTTAGCATGTCTCACACTCATGCAGCTAAACAGATGGTGGGGGTCTGGAAAGGAAGTTGGGGAAAGCAGACAACTCCACAGGAAGAGTCTTTTGTCTCTTTGTTCCTGGAGAAGGTATTTCACTGAGAGCCATGCTAGGCTCAGAGAGAGACTCTGCTGACAGTCTTCCCCGCAATCATGCATCCTCTCCACCAAGCTTGGTTTTCTGTTCTTTGTTTTGATTAAAGAATGTTAGCTACTGCTCACCACTTGTTTGCAGGCTTTATTTAATGGAAAACTTCCACAACACAGGCCACTGTGAAAACCATTGACAACCATTTGAGGAGGCCACACACACCCTGTGTGAGGAGGTGGCTTCTCTGTCTTCTGTTATCCCTTGTGTGCAGGCTCTCAAGACTGCCTTAACAAACTCATAGGTGAATGTGGATGTACAGGCTCTTCCAGAGGCACTTGGTGACCACATTGCAGTCTCAGTTGGCTCAGCGCTTCCAGGTTGTCTTTGATAGTCCTCAGGTCATTACTTTAAAGCCACCCTACTGGATCCCCAATTTAAGAGCTTGCCCATGTCACTACTTAGTACATCAGAATTTGACAGGCTCAAGGCAGATGTGGCTGCAGAGGTGGATGCAGAACTCCAAGCGGATGTTGTTTCTGGGGTACCTGAAGCTGCCAGCTCATCTTCAGTTGAGAGTGAGACCAGTGGGCAAAAAAGCCTCTTTTGGGGGGCAGTGCACAATCTTGCTAAACCAAAAGCCAAATCTGCCTAATATGGTGGTTAAGATAAGATAGTTGAGAACTGCTTAGCTGAGGACAGCACTGAATCACTGACCTCAGATCCTGCAGTGACCTTTTGGTCAAAAATGATGCAGCCACAGAAAGCCCTGGCTTATATGGCAATGAAATATCTCACCTGCCCCCCAACAAGTGTCCCCTCTGAGAGGATCTTTAGCACAGCAGGAGATATTGTGTCCCCACATCACTCCAGACTCCCCTCACATGTGGAAGAGCTTGTGTTCACAAAATACAACATTGAGAAATTTAACTGAGAGTATGTTGGGAGAAGATATCTTCTTCCAAGTGAAATATGGTTAAGTTATGGTTAACATAAAGCATAAAAAGGGGTTGATAAAGTCGAGTTCTTGGAATTCTGTGCAGTAGAAAGAAGCTCTTTCAGTATATCATGTTTTAGTAAACATGTTTGTGCTTTATGCATCCACTCAAACATCACTACTTAGCCATCAAACCACAGCAAAAAAAAGTATGAAGGTTTATGGTGAGATTTAATTTCCATTGTGGTTGGAAACTGTGAAGAAAAGACAGGTTGCACCAAATGCAACAAGCGCATGACTTTTAAAGTTCCTGTGTGTTGGTAAAACCTGCAGAAGCACGTACACAAACTGTTACCTTTTCTATTGTGGTGACTGTGCTAACCGCTGAGTAACTGGCTGCATGTGCTACAGACTGAAAATGCACATGATATAGAGATTATACACATTCAAGATGTACTTTGCACATCATTAAAAGACTCTTTGTTTACTGGTGTTATATTATCTTACTTCTTTCTGTGACATTGTTCTATAGCACTGGTGAAAACTGATTGTCCATCAGTCATTCAGTTACTTATTTCTTTTGCAAATAATTATTTATTTTTATTACTTATAGAGAAGATTAAAAAAAATTCTACACATATACATACTTCTCTTCCGCTCCTGTTCTTTCATGCAGTACCACAGTTCCTCTCTTGGGACCCTATCATCTGCTTTCTCTAGATCCAAAATAACACAATGCAACTCTACCTATCATTCTCTATATTTCTCAACCAACACTCTTAAAGCAAACATTGCTGTCTTCTCTCTCGGCTCTTGACGGGGGCGGTCTCATCTTCTCCCTCTCCCTTATCTTTCCTGCAAGCTATCTCCATCCCTCAGAGATCTCTCCCTCTCCCTGTTCAGGATGTGTTCATCCTCATTATTGATTTGATCAATGGTCTTTGATCACTGGACTTTGACCAGTAGTTGTTGATCAATGGTCATGAGAATTTGGATATTAATGATCAAAGAACTGGCCACAGCACATATTTCACATTGGAAAAATCACAATTAACCACCACCAAACAAACATGTTACGAAAAACATTTTAATTGAAATATAATGTAAATCTACTCTCAGTCTACTCAATTTACCTAACCTAGGATTGTTTATTTAAACACAATGTTCTTGCAGGAATTGAAGAAAGACACCTCAACAACTCTGAGTCTCTCTCTTTGATCATCTTCATAGCAGTCATGCTAGTTTTAAGTGCTTTCTCACTAATCTTGGTGGTTTTTCTCATTATTGCTGCCTGTTTCTCAGTCTGGATCGTGTGTTATGTTATGGCTCCACTGCCCGTGGATTTACCGTTGCACCATTCTGGTTGCCAATATATTTCTAATTTTCATTATTACAATCACTGTTGTGTATATATGGGCAAATGCATACATTAAAAATATGTCATTCAGCAACAATAATTATCCTTATACAAAGGGAAAAAAGGAAAAACCTGAGTATCAGATTAAATATCATATTACAGGTTGCGTGAGGCCAAATCACCCACAAAGACATTTAGATTTAAAGTTAACCAGCAGTGCATCCTGTAGGTCAGACATGGGTGAACTGACTGCTATAAAATCATGTGGTTCACCAACTGCTACTGTGGAGAGAAGTGATGCTGGGTTTAACACAGTACATCTTTTTCCTGTGCTGTTTGTGTCATGAACAGAGGTTCTCACGAATACTGGAGCCAAAAGCAGACTCAACACAAATTCAGCAGCGAACTATAGCAGAATTAACATGAGCCAAAAGACTAAAGCAGATACAGACCATAGGCAAGCCTAGTTACCAGTAACAGTGACTGAACGACTGGCGTGTAGCAGCAGACCGTGCTGGCTGAAGTAGTACTCCTGTGATTACCTGTGATGGAATTCAGGTGTGATGCTGGTGGCCCTGCCTGAGGGCGTAGCCAAAGAGCCATCCAGAAACACTCTCCTGCACGACTGCTCCTACGGACATGACAGTTTTGCATTTTTCAATAATACATAACGCACCCTCCAGATTTCCAGCCACCTTCCAGTGTCTTCAATAGTAACGTGGTGCTGAAAACACCATGTTATGATTTTAAGAGAGATGTGTATTTCCATGCTTTTATCTATGGTCAAGTCTTTTATTACCCAGACACATCTTGTCACCAGCTGGAAGAACTGATGCTGCTGTCTCCCTCAAGCTTTATACCTGCATGCGTGAGTCTCAGGCTGGTTGTTCCTTACAATGCCCTCCTGGAGGCCTGACCTCCAGTTTGCTCAAAATGTGAGCGTCATGTCAGACATCAGCAATTATTTAATTATAATCTTAAAGAAGTCCAGCACTACTCAGAACATAACTAATGCAAACAGAAACCTTGAATTCACTCCCACCATTTGAATGCAGCAAAGCTCTTGATAATGCATTTTTAAAAAATCTGCATTTACATGAGCTTTGCACTTGGTATTTTTCTTGATCATTTTTGAACAGAATGATTCCACGTGTTGCTTTAGAATATGAAATTGCATTATCTCTTCCTTGCTAATGTCCAGTGTTAACGAATTGATTTAGAGTTCCACCCACTCTTGTATGGCTTGCATGCAAATATTTCCTCATGTCTTCCATCTGATGTGCAAAGTTGATGATTTAAGAAAGTGCAAGTACAGTGAAGTACAGCTGTGAAAACCGATTTGCCCTGTGCAATAATAAGAAAAGATAGTTTCATCATATCAGGAACACAATGTCAAAATAACATTTAAATCCAGTCAATAAAGGTTATTTCACAAACTATAAATGGCAGTGCTATGTATGTAAAAGGTTACATGACTGGTAGTGCTTTCTTTGCATGTTCATATTTAGATGTGACCGTTTGATACAGTCTTTGTATCGTACTTTATTTTGTAGTAATGAATGTTGTAGGTCAGGTTTTTATGGGCTTCCTGCTCCTCCTCCCCCCCCAAAAAAGCTTTAAAAGCCACAACTTCTGGTGACTCTCTTGTTCTTGTTTACACCTTTCTCCTCTCTAAATTGCAGCTGAGAACAGTTTGAGCGATGTATCCTCAAGGTTACCCAACTGAAGCCGTTCCATTGCAGGCTGTGAGTTATGGCGGACACCCTGGAGTGGTCCAGCACACTGCTGTGAACATCACCGCAGGGCAACAAGTCATCACTGAGCCCCCCAAAGACCATATCATCTGGTCGCTTTTTTCCCTTGTCTACGCAAATCCTTTCTGCTTTGGACTTGCAGCTGTCATTTATTCCATCAAGGTGAGTTTACTGTGACACATCTTACTTTGTTAGAAATCACATCTTTTATGTGCTTGCTCTATGTGATAAAAGAAGATAAAGTTATCCAAAATTTGGGGAAATTGATGTGTTACAGAAGCCAGAACCTTAAAGACGACGTGGAATAAAAAAAGTATATAAAGAAAAACAAATATATATGTTTTCAATAAATTAACATGCAATATGGTAAAAGGTTAAAATTACACAAAAGAAAGGAGTTCAGTTAAATGAAATAAGAGTATAAAAAATATGCATACAAAGTACAAAAAAAATCAAAATAAAATTTAATAGACCATTACATGAAAAAAAAAGAATATGGTACCGGAAAGAGTTCAGCATGATAAAGTCTTAAAATAAAGTGGAAAAACAAAAAATATTCAATAAAAAACAACAAAAGGAAATCAATATTCTGTCTTCATGAAATTAACCACCTGAATTTATTTAAGCAATAAATCAAACAATCGTCTTACCAAAAGTAGTAAAAGCAACACGGAAGATATCAGATGACATTAAAATGTCTGAGTGTAAGAGAGTGTAGTGGACAGTGCAATGAAGTGGCTTTGCTGAGACAGTACAGGACAAAATAAACTATAAACACAGAACAGCTGATTCACTGTAACTGTAAAACTATATAAGCTACCGTCTTTTGCATTTTGCATGTTTAAAAAAATCTGTGCTTGCAAACAAGAATCTTAATATTTTCTGGGACTATGAAAGGATTATGTTTAACATCTGATGTTCTGAGTCTCTCATTGAACATGTGTTGGACTCCAGTTTTTAAAGTGTATAAAATACTTTCATCCTTCCAGGCCAGAGACAGGAAGATGGTTGGAGATATGGATGGTGCACGACATTATGGCTCCACTGCTCGCAATCTCAACATTGTTGCCACAATCATAGTTACCACTGTAATCCTGATTACCATTATTACGTTCAGTGTTATTACAGCTCAAGCAGCTTCCTATTACAGTTACAGTAACAGTTACAGATACAACTATCATTATTAATTACTTTATAATCATTTTATAGATTATACAGTTTCCTCCTGCTGTGATGAGGTCACATTTGTGTTTTCCTGCTTAGAATAAATTTTACAACCTTCTAGAACCTTTTAATCACATCATCTGGAAAAGAAGACATTTGACAGAAATCTTAAATGGAAGTCTTCTCTATTTCTTTACTGATAAGTTTTATTTTCATACTTTGTTACTTGATAACAATATCCTGTCA